GTCCAAGGTGACAAGATGGGGGTACACTGGCAGAGGAGCTAGAGAGACAGGAAGGACGGCTTTATAAGCAAGAAGTGGGAAAAGAGATGATGAATGGGGTTAGACGTGTTGAATGTGAAGTACCTGTTAAAACATGCAGATGAGGCTTCAGAGAGCTCAGGGTCTGAGACATAAATGATAGTTGGAACCGTGGGAGTGAATAAGATTTCATAGATCAAATGCACAGATGAACACCACAAAGAGGCTGCACAATTTTAATTGATTTACCTGGCACGCAAAGATACTCTTATTAGCCTGTATAGACTCCAGCCTAAGAAGTACTAGGTTTCTGGCATCTGACAAGTAGTGAAATAGAAAAAACTCTGTGGGACGTAGGACCAAAGCTCAGGACACCAGCCTTCCCCCAGGGCAGATCTCTGGAAATGGGAACCAGAGGGAGGCTGTTCCCAGGCCATGTCTCGGTGTCCCTGGGGACCTCTCAGACTTAGTTTTCACCCCAATTACATACCCTCTCTGAGGGGCCTGATCTGGTTGGTGGTAGGAATGAAGATCCCATGAGAGGTGTTTTTTGAAGTTGGGTGGTTAGTTACATCTGTTTCAGATTTGGTTCCGTCACGTGTAAGGGGGAGAGGAAACAGTACCGAATCCTCTGGAGAAGGGGCTAGTATCATGACCCAGGTAAGCAGGCTAGAGCCTAAAATAAGGCCTCAGCCCCAGTTGGGCAAATGGATTGCAAAGCAGCAGGAAACCGTCTAAGATAACCACGGGTTGAGGGAAAGAAATGGTGCTGAGTGTGTGTCAGGAATCTACGCCCTCACCCAGAATTCGGGGTGAGGGCCAGGAGAGCGATTCTAGACCCCACTCTCCAGTGGGAGTGGGGCGGGGTTCCTAAGGGCGGGCTCAACACTTGGGCGGCATTCATCCTACAGTTTGAAGTTCACAGAGCAGAAGCAGGGATTGGCATTTCCATCTTTCTAACTCTTCACTCAAGGTCCTTAAAGATCCAGTAAGCTGGGGGGCGCCTGGGTGGCTTAGTTGGTTAAGCGTCCGACTTTCGCTTAGGTCATGATCTCGCGGTTCGTGGGTTCGAGCCCTGCTTCGGGCTCTGTGCTGACTGCCAGCTCAGAGCCTGGAGCCTGTTTCAGTCTGTGTCTCCCTCTCTCTCTGACCCTCCCCTGCCTATGCTGTCTCTCTCTCTCTCTCTCTCTCCTAGAAATAAATAAAACATTAAAAAAAAATTTAAATAAATAAATAAAGATCCAGTAAGCTGGGATTTACTTGAAATTTTTAGTCCCATCTTCTCCAGTTGTCCAAACGTATCCGTAGCTTAGAGTCCCGGGCTTCCTATTATGCCTGCCCACGTACACACAGGGTTACCCTCCATTTCCGATTTCCAGGAGGTGCGCGTGCGATTGTGCAGTGATGAGGACGCCCAGGCACTGTCACTGCTGAGCTCCTGATGACCTATTCTAGCGTTCCTGTGTGGTTTCTGCCCGTTCCACACTGTACACACTTAGCATGTCATCCATCTCGATATCTGTGCTCGCCTGGCTCTAGGATCCTAGGTTCCCAGAAGTCAACAGACTGGTCTTGACAGTAGCAGCAGCCACATTTAGTGAGTGTTTACTATATACCGTATTATCCTAAGTGCTTAGGTTAACACTTCATTTAGCCTTCAGCCAACTCCATAGGTAGTTATGATTATTCTGGTTTTACCAGCGAAGAAACTAAAATTCATGAGTTGAGAAATTTGCCTTAGGTCATGCAGCGAGGAAGTGGGAGAGCTTGGATTCTAATTTAGGACTGGATCCCAAAATCCATGAGTCTAACTATCATGCTATCAAAGGGCAGATGTTTCTGAGAATGTATTCCTTATTCTTTGGAACTTGGATTTATATTGTACATCATGGAATAAACTGAAAACCAACTAGCCTCTGTTAGTAATTAAGGGGGTCCAATAGCTTGGTCAAGTGGCTAATCTCATTAACAGAGAACAGAGCTGTAAAGGAGGTTATTCTTAGTAATCACCTAATGAACAAAACGCCATACTTAACTCTCCCACAAACAAAAAAAAGCCCCATAAAACCCTGACAAAACAAAACAAACAAACAGAAAACCCTACAACACTTTTATTTATCACCTGCCTTCTTTGCTGGTTTTATTTATCCTAGAAAAGCTAGGAAATGCGATTTCCCAGGTATAGTCTAAAGAGGTAGCAGAGAAGAAAGGTGGTGTGGTCAAGTACAAAGTACTTGTTCTGGGAACAATGCCCATGATTGGCTATCCAACCTCAACCATTACTAACTGAAGTCTTTTCACCTCTCTGTTTCATTTTTGTTACCTGGAAAATTGGAGTGTGGATAAGGATTTGGAGAAGAATTACAAGGTTAAAAATTAATGCAATAGAATTTAAGGAGACACTGTAAAGAAATTTCTTTTCCCAATGCAGCTCTGGAGTTAGGGAGCAGTAGAATTAGCCACATCAACATTTGGAGGGGGTGGAAGGAAGCGATGGAGCCTAGAAACTGAGATTCTACAGTGAGCTTCCAGATAGGCATTATTTGCCCCTTGGATGGGGCTGATCTGCGTAGTCCGGCTGTAATCACACCTGCTGGGGGTGAATGTCCATGGAGATTCGGGAGCCTTAGTGCGGGAGGTGAGAGGAAAGGCAGGGACAGTGAGGGAGGATCAGTGTTTGGGATCTACCGCTACAGGGCATGGTCTACGCAGTCCTCTGCGGTAGAGTCTCCTCCGGGCAGGTGACCAGTGGCCTAGTGTTTGTTAACAACCCTGTGAGCAAGGATCACGAGGCTCATTTTGTAAGTGAGGGCTGCTTCAAAGGCTTCGTGAAGGCCTCATTGCTAGTGGATGGCCAGACGGGATTCAAAGTACTAGCTATTCGATTCCACTGCTATTTTACTGTACTGTGCTATCTATGACCCTGTAACCAGTTTTCTCTGCACAGCCCTAGAAATTCCTGTAGTAATAGTCATTCAATTGTGCATGCATTCCTTCATGTATTCTATAGCACTTGGTAGGTTCAAAACACTACAGTTCGGTAAATCTCAAATACTCTGTTGGATTCACCTCCTCATTCCACAGAATGCAGAAAATGTTTTCTCCCCAGAAGAAATTAGAACCTGCTTTTTCTTGTGAGATGCGCTGGTCTGGAACTCAGAAGACAGGAGCGCAAGTGTGGTCTTTTGCCTTTGTTGAGGGTGCTTCCATAGGACACACTCATAAATAAAGAAGTGTATGTTTGAACTAGAAGAGTGAGTGTGCTTTCAGGATGTCATTTTGCACACTGGCAGTGATCAAGGACAGAGGTGCCCCAGGGAAATGACTCCTTCCTTGCGTGCCTCAAGTCCACTGGAATTCTAGGGTGAAACTTTCTGTCTCAAGCTCCCGGAAGTTGACGTGGCAAGGTCCTGGATTTAATTCAGAGCCTCTTTATCATGTCTTTCTATTCATATTCCTTTTTCTGCCTTTCATTACCATTCTGTTTCTGCTTCTATGTTAGATCAAGCTAGAAACTCCTGATTCTCTCATTGAACTGAGAGAGTTAAGTTCTCTTTCCTTGGAATTTCTAGATCTCGCCATTGAGGTAATAGAGACCTTTTACCTCTCAAACACTCCCCTGGTCTTCCATTCACTGAAATTTCCCTCTCTTTCTTGGACAAAGCCTCAGGTTGTATCTTTTCACCCCTTAGACTTCTCGTCTGCTTTCTAGTGTTCTTTCTCCTTTTTAAAAAAAAATTATTTTCAGGGAGAGAGAGAGAGAGGGAGAGAGCATACACAGCAGGAGCAGATGCGGGGGGGGAATCCCAAGTAGGCTCTGTGTTGTCAGCATGGAGCCTGACGTGTTGTCAGCATGGAGCCTGACGTGGGACTCAAACCCACAAACCGTGAGATCCTGACCTCAGCAGAAATCAAGAGTCAGATGCTCAATCGACTGAGCCACCCAGGCACCCTTCTGCCTTTTTTTGATTACCCTTCAAAGCTTTTGAACTTAGTCTATTGCCTTTGAACTGAAAAATCTTCATTTCTCTTAAAGCTTTCGTTTCCCTTCATCTCTGTCCCCTTTGCTAGCGTATCATCGGGAAGGGAAGTCACTTCCTCCTGAAGTCATACTTCCCAGCTTCATTGTCTTTATATATGAAATATTTGTTGAGCACCTGTGGGTTTCACAAGCCAGGACAGTAAGATAAGACACATACCTTACCTGACGAGTCTGAATGGGGTGACAGGCATGAAAACAAATACTTGCAAAGTAATGGTAAGAAATGTCTAGAAGGGGATCCTGGGATTCTGATGGCACAAAGGGGGAGTGATGAATGGACTGAGGGTCAGAGAAGACTTACAAAAAGCTTTTGACCTGGGCTTTGAAAGGTGGAAAAGGGTTTCCCAAAGAAAGAAGTGAAGAAAACTCATTCTGGAAACTAGGAGCGTCATGTACAAAGACCCAGAGGTGTGAGATAGCATGTCCCACTTGAGGAAACTGTTACTTGCTTGGTTATTCTTGGGAGTTGGTGCTCAAATAAAGGTGCCAGTACAAGGGAGGCTGAGGAGGTAGGAAGCTAGATGATGGAGCATCTTAAATCTTTTCCAGACACTTTGGGTTCTTTCCTGCAGGCCATGGAGGTTGAGTGAAGGGTTTTAAGGAGAGCCATAGCAGTCAGATTTAGAAAGATTACCTGAATTATATAGCAAGGAGAATGGATGGCGTGTGGGCAATGGCAGCTGGGGAGACGAGATGAGATTATTGTACTATTATAAGCAAGAATTAAAAAGGGTGCCAACCAAAGCAATGGTAGTGTGAGGTCAAAGACGAGAGAAGAAATAGTAAAGATGTTAAGAGATCAAATGGACGTGGCTTAGTGATTGATTGGATATTGGGAGTGAGGGCAGGTTTCTGGACAATGCAACCGGATGGATACGATGCCATTAACAGTGATGCAGAAAGTGTGGAGGGACAGGTTAGGGAGGCGAGGTGGAAAGGCATGACTCTGGTGGGAGGTGAGCTCCAGGATATGGATACCACTTGGGCATCTTCCTTGTGTTTTGCAGCCGTGGCTGATGGCCTTCAAGTCACCGTGCCTGACAAGAAGAAGGTGGCCATGCTCTTCCAGCCCACTGTGCTTCGCTGCCACTTCTCCACGTCTTCCCATCAGCCTGCCGTCGTGCAGTGGAAGTTCAAGTCCTACTGCCAGGATCGCATGGGGGAGTCCCTGGGCATGTCCTCTCCCCGGGCCCAGTCCCTCAGCAAAAGAAATCTGGAATGGGACCCCTACTTGGACTGTTTAGACAGCAGGCGGACTGTTCGAGTGGTAGCTTCAAAGCAGGGCTCGACCGTCACCCTGGGAGACTTCTACAGGGGCAGAGAGATCACGATCGTGCATGGTAATGACGCCTCGCCTCTGCTTTGAACCCGGGAGTGGAAGGGAGATTAGTTCCACTCTCCCCGAAACAAGGGGGTGCCAGCCTGTCAGCCTTGCAGTCCGTCCAGATCTTGATTTTATGGGAGATGGAAGTGTCAAGAAGCTTAGCAGATTACTTAATGGGACAGTGAGTGTAGAAAGCGTAAAAGGTGTACTATCTAGAAGAGACGCAGAGATGAGCTCCGGAAATGGGCTTTCCTGCCCCTGCCCTGAGGAGCTTGTTATCAGAACTGGATTGAAAGAGATTCCAGTGAAAGAATGTTGTCAAAACCTTACACCTTGACGTCAGCCTTGATGGCCGTTTCCCAAACTCAGAAAGCAGACCTCCTTAAGGGGCTGCTCCGCTGGGAGACAGGATGAGTCCAGCAGGTCACAGAGCCAGGTAGATGCCACGGCCCAAGCCCCAGGTGGTTCTGCATCACCTCTACCCTTTCTTCTGCTCCCTCAAGCTTTGGACAAGAGAAGGGTCTAAGAGGCTGACGTGACCTGTGAATTTTGAAGAACTCCTACGGAGCCAGCTCGTTTCCAGGAGTCCAGAGTCTTTCAGGAATGTATCTGGCTTTCAGGGCCCTCTGCAGACCTGGTTGGTTGCAAGCCGTCTTCTGTTCCCAAAACTGGACTGGCACTAGATCAGTTTCTGGGGACACCCTAAGTCTCTCACCTTAGGGATGCTGGTGTTTGCTATTGGGTTTTTGTTTTTTTGTTTGCTTGTTTGAAATAAAGCAAACATCTGGTCAGCCACCATCTAAGTGGAGAAGTAGATCACTGCAAACAGTCCAGAGGCCCTCCCCTCCCCACACACTTCACCCCCCCATTGCTCAGTGTTTTCCTTCCAGGGGGCACCTTTAGGACTGGGCACTTCTTTTTGTGATCGCAGATGCAGATCTTCAAATTGGAAAACTCATGTGGGGAGACAGCGGACTCTATTATTGTATTATCACGACCCCTGATGACCTGGAGGGCAAAAACGAGGACTCGGTGGAACTGCTGGTGTTGGGTAAGTGGACACCGGCAGCAGCGTGTGCCTCTTAGACGCTTGCGCTCTTCCGTCCCCTCACTTCTCCCTGCGCGCTCCAACAGGTGCACACACAGGCTTTAACCTTTGGTGCGCACACCGGCTTTACAGTGTGCTCTTTATAAGCGGTAGGTGTTATTGTATCCTGTTTCCTGGAGGCTGTGCTCCCTCCCCCCCTTCCTTTTTTTTAGCATTGTCCTGAGTGTTTCTTCTGCTTTCTGAGGGTTGCTTTTCCCTCCTTTCCACTTGCAAGCCTTTAACCCTGATTTCTTTGCTCTCATGCTTTACTTGCCTTTTTTATATGCTAAGTGTTGGAGAAAATACCAGAGGCTTTTGAAGCAGAGTAGAGACAATCGAGAGATCAGAATTTATTGGTGAGTCAGGGTCTTCCAAGACATCAGGAATCTTCCCCATTTAGTTACGTACAATAGTTAGGACCATCCTGAAGAAGGGGGCTGTCAACTAGAGAGTTTAACAATAAAACGTTCCCGGTGAGAAGAGCCACTGGACAGTCTGTTAGTGTTTAAATTGGAAGGTAAATGGAAACCTAAAAGCGTCTGAGTCATTCTCAAAGCAAATATATCTAATCCTTATTAATATTAATTTGTTCATAAATGAAAACTCACGATTCTTGGCTACTTTTCTTTTTTCGTGGATTGGAGGAATGTCAGTGGGAGATGACCTCCTTGTAGGAAAATTGAAAATTGAGCACATATTTCATGTTTTATAAGTCTTGGTTGAACAAAGAAATTAGAGTAAAATATACAGAAATTAAGAAAAGAAAATACATTAATTGTAGGAGAAAAATTGAAGCAACTTTTAAAAAAGAAATGACATTTTTTGTAGTTTCAAAGAACCTAGGTGGTGATGATTTGGAGGAATGTTTAAGGGTACTTTCTTTTTTCTTTTTTTTAACACTTATTTAGTATTGAGAGACAGAGAGACTGAGCATGAGTAGGGAAGGAGCAGAGATGGGGAGACCGAGAATCCAAAGCAGGCTCCAGGCTCTGAGCTGTCAGCACAGAGCCCGACGCTGGGCTCAAACTCACTAAGAGCCGTGAGATCATGACCTGAGCCGAAGTCTGATGCTTAACTGACTGAGCCACCCGGGGGCGCCTACGGGTACTTTCTTTTGAAGACAAATGAGCTTGAAGGTTAATTTTTACCCTATGTGGAAACTCAGTGCCTAGGGAGAAGGTGGAGTTTGCTATTTAGGACGTTTAGTTTTATTCTAACATGACTGCTTGCCTTTGGCAAATCACCTCTTTTGCGGCCTTACTTTTACGGTTTATAAAATGGGTTAAAGTCATGATTATTTATTAATAATTCACCCTTTAATCAATAACAACTAACCCTTATTAGAAGGGTGACTTAAATCAAATCCATATTCCTTGGGTCTAATATGTAAAGCACGGCTGCTGCAGTTTGTAGAAGAGTGGGATGCAGATACACAAAAGGAAGTAAAGTAAAAAGGCTTAGATTCACACTGGAAAAGAATGCAGGGAAATCAGATTTGTGACTCTGTAAATCAGAGGGGAATAGAAAGATAAATTTCTGCCCAGTCACACAACTCTAATGGCCGAGTCTGAAGGAACAAGTGGCTCGTTGAACCTGCAATTAGCTAATTGTGGACACGGTTATTTGGCTAGTGCAGCCATTTGCAGAGAAGTAATTGCCTGCAGAGGAAAACGAGGCCAGGTAGAAACCACTTTAAATAATTCGTTCCCAGTTCTGCAAATGCGGGGGAACGAACGGAGGGAAAGGCTTGTCCTCTGAGGATGTGCGGCAAGTATAGGAAGGGCATTTCCCTGGATCGAAACGCGCAGTCGCTGGGGGGAAGGGGCTGTCTGTCCGTAGGACAGAAACAGGTGGGTGAGAGACAGGCTCGCATGAGGATGGTCGCCGAGGGTGAGGGCGACGATGAGGAACGGAAGCCAGTTCAGTCCAGAAAGAGCCGTGAAGGAAAACCGAGGAGGCTGCAGGTGAGCTCACCACAGGCGGAAGCAGTTGCTCTGTGGGATAAGCAGACACATGCCGGGTCCTTGGGGAGGAGAAGCACACCCTTCTGCTGTGCTCCACGTTAATGAGAAATGTTCAGAGGATGATATATTTGCCATGTAAACTTCTTAGGGCAACACTGGTCGTGCTATTTATGTAAAGAAGTTATTTGGAAATCTGGGAGAACTTTCTGGCCACACAAACGACTGTATTTACTTTCCAGATGCAAAATTCTGAGTCGTCTTTGTCTCGACACGCTGTATAGAATTTTTCAAAATATTGTCGCAGTTTCTAAAATTCTAACGATTTGGTTGTTATCTCCGGCAGGCCTAATTGTTAAGGATTCCTTTGATGTGAGCCCGGGAGAGCAACCTGATGGCTGAGGTCAATCTCAAGGAGTCATGGAGGCCTCAGGGATAATGTAACTGGGCCCGCAGACTGCTAATTACAACCTCCATGAGCAACTGGTTCAGTCACTGAATTTTACATGAGGAATGGTTGATTGCAGGGGCTGAGAGGGTTTGATCTAATGAAGGAGGCCTTGGGAAAGGGATTACGGGAAGCAGCTCCACATATCAGAAGTGAAATCATACAGAAGAGGGACTGGAAACTGCGTGGCTGTGTAGAACCAGAACCAGGAGTAGAGGCTACATGGGGCAGGAGTCCAGCCCAGTACGAAGAAATAGCTGGTAACCACTGGGGACATCTAAAGATGGAATAAGTATTCTCAGGAATCGTGATTTCTTTGTCCCAAGAGGGTGGAAAATTTCTTATGAGTTGTTATAAAAGAGACATTCATGTAGAGGAAATGGGATCTAGGTAACTTTTGAGCTTTGTTTCAATTTTAAAGTTTTGGATTGAAAAGTAGATGAGGGATGTGACCACCTCGGTAGATGAGAAAATGGCCTCCCAGGACTTCAGTCCTCGTGACAGAGATAGAAGGGGGTACAGGCTGGCTACAAGGATGTACAGGGTGATGCTCATTCACAAGGAAGCCACAGAGTTGAAAGTAGCTTTCCTTGGAGATGGTCCCGAAGTGGGGAGCAGAAAACTCGTTGGAATTTCAGATGACCAATCAGCAAGGAAAGATGAGTTAAAGGGGGTAAATTAGAGGCAAAGTTAGGAATTTATTTTTCTCATCATACAAAGGTGAAGATGGGAAAATTGACAGAGCCAGATTGCCAAGTGGCTTATATGTCAGACTAAGAAGTTTGGACTTCATCCTGAAGACTTTGGGGGATCCGGTAAAGTAATGATAAGAGGAATGAAGTGAGATCTTAGGGTCAAAACAATAACCAGCAGCAGCGTAGACAGTGCAAAAGCAAGGCTAGAACAGATGGATGGGCCCTGGGGCTGCAGCAGCAGTGTGGGTGAAAGCCTAGGAGATTCTGAACCAGAGCAGTGAATTGGGAAGCAACAATACAGAAGCATTTCTGAGATGGAAGTGATGGATCTTGGTGACTAATGTATGAAAGGAGACGAGGGAGAGGGATGAGTCAAAAGGACGCCATGACTTCTAGCTAGCTGGGTAGCCAGCTGTTCTATCAACTAAGAGAGGACGCAGATTGGAAACCAGGTTGGGGAGGCAGGAGAATGACTTTGGTTCTTGACAGGTTGAATAGGAGAGGCCTATGGGAACCAAGGTACGGATGTCTCGGGGACCAGAAACGTAGCTCTGGAGCTCAGTGGAGAAGCAAGGATCAGAGAAGATAGATTTGAGACTACTTAGTGATCATCAGAACCATGAAAGAATGGATGAGTCACCCAGGAAGATTTTATATAAAGTGGAAGGGGCCAAAGACAGAACCTGTCAGTCCTGCATTCTAGTGTTACTTCCTGTGAGTAGTAACACCGGTACTGTGTAGGTACTTGTCTTGGTTTCTCCCACGACACTGGAAGCTTCTCGGTAGCACTGGACCACGCGCTCTTCAGATATAGGGCCAACTCTCATGTGTCTTTCTACCTGTAATGCCTCGCAGAATGTCGGGTGTAAAGAGGCTCATGTGAATGTTTTTGTTTTTTTTTTAACTGATAAACGAGCAGAATCTGCAACTAACACATGATGCTTCTTAAATGTTAGTCAATGCCGAGTATATATCTGTTGCTTTATAAAGGGTCAGTACAATAAATGTGTACCGACTCAAGTGAGTTAACATGGTTTAATCTCACTGGTCATAATTCTTTACCTGGCTGTTGAAATTGTTATTGGCGATCGACCCGTCAGGGATGTGGGTGAGAGCAACAGAGGTTGACTCTGGCTAACTTCAGCCGGAAAACAATTTGTTGGAAGGGTATCATCATTGAAAGGAAGCCTGGACAGTCTCTGAAAAGGATAGCGTGTTAGGGTGACACTTGTTAGTTTCTACAAAAACAGCCCCCAGTCCCACCCCCCTTCTCACCGCAGTGGAAGTCTATTACTTCCTCTCGTCCTGGTCAACTCTGGGCTGGGGGACGCACCTGGGGAGCTCTCTGGACACAAGTCTCAGCCCCTCCCTTGTTTGGCTCGGCTGTACTGGAAACATTTACTCACAGCTGCTTCGGAAAGAGAGCGAGAAAGGTCATGTGAGAGTTTTTAGCTGCCAGGTCTGGCGGTGACATGGGTCACTTCTGCCATTACTTTGTATTTCCCCAGGAAAAAAGTAAAAATGTTGTGATGAGCACAGCATGGTCCTTGTGGTGCCAGAGACGCTCCAGGGTCTATGTAGCAAGAATTAATAGAAAATGTCTTTTTAGGGGCGCCTGGGTGGCTTAGTCGGTTAGGCGTCCGACTTTCGCTTAGGTATGATCTCACGGTTTGTGGGTTCGAGCCCCGCATCGGGCTCTGTGCTGACTGCCAGCTCAGAGCCTGGAGCCAATTTCAGAGTCTGTATCTCCCTCTCTCTCTGACCCTCCCCTGCTCACGCTGTCTCTCTCTCTCTCTCTCTGTCCTAGAAATAAATAAAAATATTAAAAAAAAAAAAAGAAAATGTCTTTTTAGGGCTCCT